CAATCAAATCTACGGTGGTGTACCATGATAGTTCTGGTCAGAAAAAATTCAAAGGGAGCAAGTTCCTCAAGCAAACTGGGCCGCTGGGCGCTAGCATGTGGTTGTAGCTTCAAGTGTTGCTACAAGAATGTGTTTTCCAGTATATACGGGGTTTAGGGGCTGCAGGGATTAGGTTAGGATGCAGGGTATTTTTGTTGGGCGCGCGTATCTATAGATTATAAAGTTAGGATTCGGGCTCGAAGTCTCCTCTTGCACTTCAGGGAAAGAATATTGAACTTGCTTTTGCTTCCCTTGTTTTGCTTAAGCATCCCATTCCATGAATGCTACCAAGGGTGTATCCTCCGGGCTTTTCGCGCAAGATGGTTGAAATGATCAAGCCGACCCGTGCAATGTCTCTGCCGAAGCTTGAGGCAAATCGATGATTTCACACGTCCAATTTTATGGGCCACTATATAATAACAATTTACCCTAGAGAATCCGTCCTCCCATTAGGAATCTCCAAATTTGGGGTGCCCAAACCCCCCTTCTCGGGCCGAAAACGGGGGTTTGGGTGGGCCGATCTCTCCAAACCCATAGCATACGATGTTGGCCCTGCCTTCGCAGGCCATCAGCTCCGACTTGAGTCTCCCAGATCTCTTCGAGAGCCTGTCGTACGTGGACCCGCTCTGGGATGAGGCTAATCTGGAAGAGGTCGTGCTTTACCTACGCACGGCCAAAGCTGTGCGTGTTCCCCTGGAATTCAAGAAGCTGATTCCAAAGGCTGAAGTCTAGAAACGGCAGTGACCACGCAAAAGCCTCTGACCGCTATCGGGTCCGCATCTTCTCATGTGCTACAGGCCCTGCTAGGCGGGCATGGTCATGCCTCGTGGGGACTTTTCATGTGCGGCGGGAAAAAAAGCAGCCAAAACAATTACGGTAATTGGCGTCCAAATGACGGGAATTGGCGTCCAAATGACGGAAATCGGCGTCCACCCCTGAAACCCACTTAGGTGCTCAAGATGTCAGAGATTAAGTCGAGTTCTAACGCCACCTTGGCGACCCAGGGGGAGTCACGGGAGACTCTAGCCCGCGGCGCCAGCATTCTAAACAAGATTGCAATGGCCGGTGTGGTGAAAGAGGAGACACCCCAGGATGAACGTGACATCTTGTTGCAAATAAAGGACTGCATGCTCAATATTGCATGCGCTGCGTGGACAGTCTTCAGATCAATGGGTTATACTTCCACGCAGGAACTCCAGCTACGCATGGCGAAGATGCAGGAGCTCAAGGCTTGTGTGCATGTCATCCAGATTTCTAAGCCTGTGCTCTTATATAAGCGTACAAAACCAGTCTCTGCCCGAAGCCCTAGATCTTGGATGGGCCCATTTCTGCGTAGCTTCTGACTAGGGTTTGATCCATCAGACTATAATATAAGATTTGGGGTTGGATTTGGGATTGGGCATGCTAACCTGGAATGTAAAGCGCATTGGGTGGAAGTTTCTTGTTTTCACGTTCTGACTAGGGTTTGATCCATCAGACTATAATATAAGATTTGGGGTTGGATTTGGGATTGGGCATGCTAACCTGGAATGTAAAGCGCATTGGGTGGAAGTTTCTTGTTTTCACGTTTTGTTTCCCATGCTCCTGCAGGATGGTTTTATTCGAAGTTCGAAGCAGAATCCAGTTTGGGCAGGGTATGGGGCCATGCTTGTACAGCACTTTCATTCAAGACCTTGCTTCCATACATGATTGCCACAACCTTCCCTGTATATGGCAACCCAAAAAACACCCATCAAAAGGTTCTGCAGAACCCCCCAAAGCGGCTGCTTGAAAGAGAAGCTTCGCCCGTATTATATCGATCAGCCCTATATAACCCTGGATCCCTAAACTAGTACGGTAATGTGGGTTAAGCTAAATTTGGGGTCCCTCTAGCCTTTCCCGGAATGAAACAATGCGTGCTACACTGACCCTTGCTAAGCCAATTCCTTAATTGTCCCAGGGAGCCCCAGAGGATCGCCACGGCCCATCGCCAGGTCTATCAGGCCTTCGCTGAGTGGGGTTGTTATAGGCCAATGCATGATATTTGGTTTACTCATTTATCGGGGATTAAGGGTTAAAGGGTTTAGGGTTTATACTTGAGGGTTTTCAGGGTTTGGGGGTTTTAGGGGTTTTAGGGGTTTAGGGTTTTAGGGCTTTAGGGTTTTAGGGCTTTAGGGTTTTAAGGCTCTATAGTTTTTTTGGGGTTTGTAGGGTTCATATAAGGGTCTTTAAGCTTAGCTCCTGTAGGCGGCTATCATCAGCAATCGCGGCAGGACCCACGCTGCCCGGAGGATCAGAGCAACAGCAGACTGCAGCAGAAGCAGCAGCAGCAGCAGCAGAAACCTTTGTAGGGCCTACACAGGTCGAAGCTGAAGCAGGCAACTCTGAACACACGTCCCGGGAGGAGCAAGCTGAACTTGAGATGCAGGAATCCAGGGAGCGATTGATGCAAGCTCGAGACGATGTTGACCGCCTCGAGGCCAAGGAGCGGGAGGAGCCGGCAAGGGAGGAAACGGCCCGGGCAGAACAGGCTGCAAAGGAGCAACAGGCCATGGCGGCAGCGAAAGCAAAGGAGCAGGAGCTCTTGGCACAGATCGCAGCAGCAACAGCAGAGCAAGACAAGGCAAGGCAGGAGCAGGAGGAACTAGCAAAGGCTCAGGCAGCAGAACAAGCAAAGCAACGGCAGCAGCAGGAGCAGGAGGAACTTGCAAAGGCTCAGGCAACAGAGGAAGCAAAGCAACGGCAGGAGCTGGAGCAGAAGGAACTTGCAAAGGCTCAGGCAACAGAGGAAGCAAAGCAAAGGGAACTAGCCCGGGCATCAACAATGAAAGCAGAACTCCAACGCAAGCAAAGTCAACTACTCGAGGCGAGGAACAAGCTAGATGACATGATTCGGGACATCAATGAGGGGACCGCGGCAGCAGACAAGACCATGGCAGGTCTTGGCCTAGCCAAGCCCCAGCCAGCGTGCAAGTCTGAACCCACCAGCCCAGCTGCTCAGCTGACGCCCACAGAGCAGCTCTCGCCCCTTTCAACGTGGAGTCAGGATGCCCAGGACCCACAGCACTTCCTTCCGTGGAAGTTGTTTCCCAGCCCAACCTCCCCGACTGCTAGCTCTAAAGCGCCGCCATTGCCTTCCCTCGCCCAAGCAGCCAAAGCAACACAGCCTCCTGCGACTCTTGCAGGAACGCCGCCGCCAGTCCAGCCAAAGAACCTGCCCCAGCCAAGGCGCCAACCCCTCCCCAGGAGCAGCAGCCTCCGCCCAGGCCGGCAGCAGCAAAAACGCCAAGTCCAGCTATGTACATGGGCCCTCCTCCCTCAGCAGCCGCAATCAACAAGCGCCTTGCACGTGCCATGGAGCCAAACGCCCGAGGTGAGTTTAAAGTGCAGGAGTCGATTCGGCAGCAGTGGTTGCAGGGAGGCACCGAGCGACAGAATGTCGTGGCCCTCTTCGCCAAAGCAGGGTACCAGACGGACCGCCAGTGTGAGCAAGCAAGCTAGGGTCTAGGGTTT